AGGGGGGAGAGCACCGAAGTCACTGGGTAGAGGGCACCCTGTAACTCCCTTCTTCCCTGTGGCAGGTGATTGCCCCCGAGGAGATTGTGGACCCCAACGTGGATGAGCATTCTGTCATGACCTACCTGTCCCAGTTCCCCAAGGCCAAACTCAAACCTGGTGCCCCTGTTCGCTCTAAACAGCTGAACCCCAAGAAGGCCATCGCCTACGGGCCTGGTACGTGTCGAGTCCCTGCCGGTCTTCCCTGGGCAGTTGGGTCCATCCTAGGATGGGTCTTCCTAAGTAACCTGGCTCTGCCGTCTGTCCCTCAGGCATCGAGCCCCACGGCAACACTGTGCTACAGCCTGCCCACTTCACCGTGCAGACGGTGGATGCCGGCGTGGGCGAGGTGCTGGTCTACATTGAGGACCCTGAGGGCCACACCGAGGAGGTATGGAGAGCTGCTGAGGACGAGGGAATGGCATGGGCTTCGAACCAGAGACCACGGGCTGCTAGCAGGACTGGCCTGGAGATGGCCTCCAGAATTAACTACTAGGCCGGGTTCTGGGGGAAGCATCACCGTGGGTGCTGCCAGGAACTGTGGGGTCAGGAGGGGCTGCAGCCTCTGTGACTTCCGGTCTTTTCCCTTCCCAATAGGCCAAAGTGGTTCCCAACAATGACAAGAACCGCACCTATGCTGTCTCCTATGTGCCCAAGGTTGCGGGGTTGCACAAGGTATCTCCCTGCCGACCCTCCCCATCCCGCTCACGTCCTTGGCTCTGTCGTCGTGGAGCCCTCTGTCAGCTCGCAGCCCACCCCAGCATGCCCAGCAGCCCACCTCTCCCCAGCCTCGGTTGCGCCCTGCCCATCCACCCCCTCTCAAAAGAACTGCTTTCCCCGAGAGGCTAACATTTGGCCCCTGATCTGCAGGTGACTGTGCTCTTTGCTGGCCAGAATATCGAACGCAGTCCCTTTGAGGTGAACGTGGGCATGGCTCTGGGAGATGCCAACAAGGTGTCAGCCCGTGGCCCTGGCCTGGAGCCTGTGGGCAATGTGGCCAACAAACCCACGTACTTTGACATCTATACTGCGGGTAAGGATGGGCCCTAGGGGGATGTCAGGTGGGCAGCGCATGACTACATGGGTGATGTGGATGGGGGACAGGGGCAGGGTCTCAGCCAGAGGGTGGGTGGTCCCAGAGTGAGGGAGCCCGGAGCAGCTGTTTGTGTCCAGAGAGGGGGTTGCTGACGGCTTTTTGTGCATGGCAGGGGCCGGCACTGGTGATGTCGCCGTGGTGATCGTGGACCCGCAGGGCCGGCGGGACACAGTGGAGGTGGCCCTGGAGGACAAGGGCGACAGCACGTTCCGATGCACGTACAGGCCTGTGATGGAGGGGCCCCACACGGTGCATGTGGCCTTCGCTGGTGCCCCCATCACCCGCAGTCCTTTCCCCGTCCATGTAGCTGAAGGTAAAAGACCCTTCACCCAGCCCCACAGTCACCCTCCCTGAGGCCAGGACACAGAGAGAATTGCCACCAAATTCCGGGGCTGAGGGTTTATGGGAAACGAACCACTAAATCCAGGGGTGGGAGGGGAGCCGGCGTTAAAATAGGTAGAATATCCATGGGGCGGGGGCAGGGGGTAGCTCTGGAGAGATCTCATCCTGGTCATCTCTCCACCTACTATCCCAGGGAGGGTCCGGAGACCACAGCAAAGTATACAGACAGGTGCCACCTTGCAAGGGTTGTGGGGGCATATGTGATGGGCACCCATACCCCAGGCCCTCGGGTGGTGACTCCCGCCACTTGGTTCTCTCCCTGCCGCTCAGAGCCCTTGCCGTCACACGTCCCCTCCGTGCCCATCATCCACCAGGCCAAGAAAGTGGTGCCACGTTAGTACTGTCCAGGGGAGGTGGGGCCAGCATGGCCACAGCTGACTGGCCTCACCTGTGCTGTGTGGAATGGCCCAGGCAGTGTGGAATTGCCCCCCTTCCGTGGCACTCTGTGACGGGCCCCAGGTTCTGTGCCATTGCCTGTGTCCTGTGGTAGGCCTGGATTATACGTCCTTGCCTGTTTTGTGGCATCCCGTTGGGTCCCGTGCCATTTTATGTGTTCCGTGGCAGTCTGAGATCACTCTTCTTTGGCCTGTGTTCAGTAGCAAGGTCTGGGTTCATTGCCACTGGTGGTGTTCTGTGGCAGGCTGATTTCCATGCATTGCCTGTGACCTGCAGAAGGCTTCATGTTATGTTGAATATCTCGTTCTGTGGCCTCGCTTAGTGTTTTATGGCATGACCTAGTCCTAAAGCTGCTATGGTGGCTCTGCCTGAGAAGGCTCAGATGGCTCTGGGTGGGTGGCTTTGGGTGGTTTGGGGACTTCCCCTATCTCTCTTTGCCCCACTCTCTGCCCAGGCTCTGCCATGTCTGTGTCCCAAGTGACAATGACTCTGAGAAGCCCAGCAGGGAGGGTTTCTTGTAGCTGGCTCCTCGTCCAGCATGGCTCCCAAGGGCCCCAGTTGTGTCGGGGGCCCTGGGGAGCACGGGGGAGGACTGCATGAGGCCATAGCCTGTGCCTGTGAGGGTCAGGAAGACTATGTCCAGTGAGGTGGGAAATGAGTGGTGAGGGGCTGAGGCTCTGTCTCCAGCCCCTCAGCACCCCTAAGCTTCTCCTTCCAACCCCCAGCCTGTAACCCTAACGCCTGCCGTGCCTCTGGGCGGGGCCTGCAGCCCAAGGGTGTGCGTGTGAAAGAGGTGGCTGATTTCAAGGTGTTCACTAAGGGTGCCGGCAGCGGGGAGCTCAAGGTCACAGTCAAAGGGCCAAGTGAGTGCCGGGGCCCAGGACTGGGGGGTGGGAGAGCAGGGAGGAAATATGGCCCGTGGTTCTGGCTTCCTGAGGGCAGTGACAACGAGCACCATGCCCCGCCCCGGAGAGACTCCAAGAAGAGACTCTGCCCAGAGGTACCATGGGACCTTAGGCATGTTGTCTCCTCTCTTGCCTCAGTTTCTCACCTGCAAACTGGAAATGATCCTTTTCACCCTACACGCTACTCTGGGTGTCATGCACAGGGATGGCATGTGGTCCCTGCCCGAGTTTCAGCTCTGCCCACTAGTCGCACTGCCCTCAGGCTGGGCCCGGGTGCCGGGGTCCCTGAGGGGATTGAGGACCTGTGGCTCTCAGACTGGTGATCACCTCCCTGTGTGCTCCCCGTCTCCTCAGAGGGCACAGAAGAGCCAGTGAAAGTGCGAGAGGCTGGAGATGGCGTGTTCGAGTGTGAGTACCACCCTGTGGTGCCTGGGAAGTATGTGGTGACCATCACGTGGGGCGGCTACGCCATCCCCCGCAGGTAAGCACCACGCACCCGCCAGGCCTGCCTGTCTGGGGCCTCACAAGCTGGGGAGGGGAGGACGGGCTGCCTGAGGGAAGAGAGGACTGGTACCTCTGGCAGAGGTGCTTCCCGGCATTGACCCCAGATCCCTCTTCGCCCAGTCCTTTTGAGGTACAGGTGAGCCCAGAGGCAGGAGCGCAGAAGGTACGGGCCTGGGGTCCCGGCCTGAAAACTGGCCAGGTGGGGAAGTCGGCCGACTTTGTGGTGGAGGCCATTGGCACGGAGGTGGGGACACTGGGTAAGTGGCTGGGTGGCAGCAAGCGGGAACGCTGGGGAGTGGTGCGATGGAGGGACACGGGGGGTGACTGGGGACGGGAGGCGGGAACGCTGGGTAGTATCAGGATGAGACGGAGTGCGATGGAGGGGTGACTGAGGGAGCGATAGGAGACCTGCCCGAGTGTCCAAGCTGCCTCTTGGACCCCCTGATCTTCCCTCCATCGCTCCCAGGATTCTCCATCGAGGGGCCCTCACAGGCCAAGATCGAGTGTGATGACAAGGGGGATGGCTCCTGCGATGTGCGGTACTGGCCCACGGAGCCTGGGGAGTACGCCGTGCACGTCATCTGCGATGACGAGGACATCCGAGACTCACCCTTCATTGCCCACATCCAGCCAGCCGCACCTGACTGCTTCCCGGATAAGGTGGGGTCCTTGGGCCTGCATACTAGCCCGGGATGGGGTGAGCAGGCCCTCCTCCAGTCCCCAACCTAGCCCTCCGCTCCTCCCCCTGCACAGGTGAAGGCCTTTGGGCCTGGCCTGGAGCCCACTGGCTGCATCGTGGACAAGCCTGCAGAGTTCACCATCGATGCCCGTGCTGCTGGCAAGGGAGACCTGAACCTGTATGCCCAGGTAAGTCACTGCCCGGTCCTGCTACCCCCATTGCCCTGGGCAGGAACCCTGGGAGGGCGGAGGCAGGTGAGAGGTAGAGGAAATTGTAGCGTCACTGGCCCGGCTTGACTCTCACGGATCCAAAAGAACTATGGGAAACTTAAAAATGTTGTGTTTTCTGATGATAACCTTATGAACATATTTTACCAAAAGTGTATTTTTTTGTACTAATAATTTTGCAATTGAAAGACGATTTGAATATGACATTGACTTCCCAAGTCCGTTTCTCATGCTGCTGTCCGCTAATCCCTAGAAGTTAATGAATGTACTCTTGGGTTCAAGAGGATGATTTTCCTTTAACGTGTTCACTATTCAATTTTAGAAACATTGATTTAACCCAGCCTTTTCCCAGCTAACACATTGCAGATGCCTGGGCTGGGAGGCTGGGCCACACAAATGGCTCCCAGGGCGTGCTCCCCGCCACCATAGCACGTGGCGCTGGGCTCTTCTGGCCTGAGGTCTGAGGCAGTAGGTGAGGAGGGCTGCCTGAGGCCAGCAGAGGGCGTCAGTGCTCTGAGGAGGCCGGAGTGTTCTTAAGACTCTCGTTTGGTTACCCACCCCCCCCCCC